GGGGGGGTGTGCTTTTATCATCACCCTTATCTGTTATCACAGGTGATCGATGTTAAAAAAGAAGAAAAAAACAAACAAACTGTATTTAGACTGAAAGAGAGTCCAAATACAGCTATATGTAATGACCGTACGATGTATTCGGGGAAAGAAAATAACCGTACGAGACGAATCAAGGGTTGTACGTAGAGGAAAGGAAAAAAAAAAAATTGCATGAGCAACGCACGATCGATCCGACAACACCAAGAGCCTGGCTCAGTGGACTCAAGATTCACACGTATCTGGACCGTTTTGTTCGCCATATTCATTCCAACTGATTGAAAATTTTGAATGTATTGGGACTAGTCGCAGCGCCGGGTGCATTTAGAACGTTGTGCAGTGGAGCGAGACCTCATCTATGTTAATGGTGTAGCCATGCGCTTTCTCCAGTGTGTACGTTCCACACGTATCTGGACTGTTTTGTGCACGAGATATATTCCGACTAATCGAAAATTTTGAATGTATTGGGACCATTTCCAGCTCCAGATGCATTTAGGACGTCATGCAATGGAGCGAGATCTCACGTTTCACTGTGATGTGAGGTGTTGACTTGCCTGAGTTCTTCATTCTGGACCCTAGAATTTTTTCTTTCCCTCTTCCCCCCCCCCCCCCTCTCCTCTCCCCCCTCCTCCCAGAGCCCTAGAGATTACGAGCATCAACGGCCAGCGATACAAAATCCGAGTACGTTGAACCTGGCCGCCTCCGGTAAACAGACCGGGAGCGCAGTCTTGTGAATGTCAGGCCACGGTTACACGAGAGTCGGGTTTGTGTGTGTGTGTGTGTGTGTGTGTGTGAGAGAGAGAGAGAGTTTGTGTGTGGGTGTGTGTGGGTTGTAATATTCGCTATACACTCACAAAAAGCATGACGGTGCCAGAGAGACTGTTTCGTCGGACTTCCACCGACTCATCAGGAGGTTGAACCTGGACAGACAGTCTGGCCAGGATTCATTTGACTGATGGATAAGGACTCACCACATCGCCCAGAGTTAGCGACACCCCTTTGTGTGTGTGTGTGTGTGTGTGTGGTGTGTGTGTGTGGGTGTGTGGGTGGGTGGGTGGGTGTGTTTAAACCACTAGTGCTTCCTACAGTTGTGCCCGTTATGGGCCACTACAGGAGCGTCCAAATTCATCCGACTAGAAACGTTTCCACTCTATTTCTTTCCGCGGGCAATAGCTAGGCCAAGTACTTTCTGAAGTTGTGCCCGTTAACAAGCCACAATTTTAGGAAATGTATGGGCCACTACAGGAGCGTCCAAATTCATCCGACTAGAAACGTTTCCACTCTATTTTGTTCGGCGGCCAATAGCTGGTGGTTTCAATTCCTGAAGTCCTGGTGGTTTAAATTCCGTTCAGCGTCCTTCGGGACATCCGTTAGAATTGGAATGATACAGAGAAGATTAGCATAAGAAAAAAAAAAAAAAAAAAAAAAAATTCCGTACAGCAAGGTCATCGAGATTCGAATTCCTGTGCGCATGTTTCAACAGTTCATGGGTGTTCCAACTGAACTACGGTAGGCTCGGTGGTCGTTTTTTTTTTTGTTTTTTTTTTTCAAAACAGTCACACGGATTTTTTCCGGCATATGGGTACGCCGGCCGGGTTAACTCATCAGTCGCGGAATAATGTATACTTAACCAGTTGCAGTCTTTGGGTTTAACAAAGACATTATTTGTGTTTTTTTTGGCCCTGATGTGATGATCTGCGTGAAGAAGAGTGGCAACGCAGTTCTTAAGGGCTTCGTTCCAGTACTCTCATGCACAAAAGACAAAAATCATGGTGGTGCATATTTCCATGTTCTAGCGGAAGATTCGTTCTCGTTTTGCAAAATTGGCGAGTGAGCGGATCGAGCCCTAAATTTGTTTGTCGTCAATGTTTTTTTGGCAGGCTCTCTACAAAGGGACACGTGGCATCGTTACGTGAGACGTTGACGGGGAAGGGGAGTGAGAGTGGGGAGAAGTGGGTGACAATAGGAGCCATCGGAAAGTGGAGGCGGCGGGGGGGGGGGGGGGGGGGGGAGAAGACGAGAGGAGAGAAGAGGGAGGTACGGACGAGAGAGGAGAGAGCAAGAGGGAAGTGAAGGGTGGTTGTGTAAGAAGCTCAGCGACTGTCATCCACGTGTCATCATCCTCTTTCGACATCGGCTGTGGAGAAGGGAGAGAGGAGGTGTAGAGGGGGAGAGGAGGTGAAGACCGTTCGGTGACGCTTAGCATCCTGCAGCAGAAAGAGAGACCTTAAAAAAAGATAGTGAAAAAAAGCGCAAGGAACTGCAGAGCCAGTGGTAAGAGGCAGAGTGAGGAGGGAGAGGGATTGCTTTTTTGCTCTGCTCTGATTTGATCTGATCTGATCTGATCTGTAGGCCACGTCAGCGCAGACATGGATTACGTGGGACAAAGATTGTCAGAGCAGTTAGCTCAATACACGATATTGTTGGCCGCCCTGATTGCACTTCTGGCGGGATGTTTAATGGAATCATATAAGCTAATGATGCTTGTGTATGCGGGAGGGGTATTATTGGCATTCGTCATTTCCGTTCCTGATTGGCCGTACTTTAATCAGCACCCGCTGACGTGGCTCCCGCCTCGATCAGAAGCGGCAATCGCCGCTGCTAAGGCGGCAAGGGCGGCAGCGAAGAACCCCGCCGTTTCCGGCAAAAAGGCGGGAGGTGGGAAGGCGGGAAAACGATGAGATGATAGCGTGGGCAAAAAGGCGGGAATGCGATGATGATGACGTGGGCGAAAGGCGGGAGGTCGGAAGGTGGGAAAGCGATGATGATGACGTGGTAAAAAAGGCGGGAAAGCGATGGTCGACGTGGAGAGTTGTGCAGCAGAGTGCATCCCGTAATAATTATATATACCAGTGTGACTGAAATGGTGGGAAATGACGTGCAAGCCACAGGCGCGGAGTGGCGGGAAATGGTGGGAAATGACGTGAAAGCCACAGGCACGGAACATTGTTCGCAGGGCGGGAGAGCGTGGATGACGAGGGTGAGCGACCATGTAGGTGGTGTACGGGTAATTAATGGATTGGTGGAAATTGAGACGGAAGGCAACAGACACCCTCCCTCCCCCTCCCCTCCCCCTCCCCTCCCCCTGCGTCCCCTTCTCTTCCCGGCAGAAAAGACGACAGGGGAAAGGCGTGAGGGTGATTATCACAAGCTGGACGCCTGATCTTCGCGCCACGTAGGCTTGACTGACGAACTGGCGGGAAGTGACGCGCGGGAAGCGATGACCGATCGTATGTTAAGGGAGGAGGATTGCTAATGGCTCCACGTAAGCAGTTTGGTAAGTGTTGAGATGCCACGTGGCAGCTCCTCGAGCGAGGACGCCGAGTTGTTGACTGTGGATTTGCGAATACCGTTGATTGGTTCGGCGGGACGAAACGATCAAGGGATTGCGCGAAACAGGGAGAAACCGAGAGAGAGAGAGAGAAAACGTGAGAGAGAGAGAGAGAGAGAGAGAGAGAGAGAGAGAGAGAGAGAGAATCTGTGATTTTGGGTTGGCTTGAGGACTGTAACGATAAAGTTTTTGGTTAATTAATTAACCTAGGACGGCGTTTTGCCGTCCCTTCGGCGAGGAGTGAGAGAACCCCATTCTCAATTGCCCACGCTTTTGGAAATAGGGCGCTATGAATGGGTTAAGTTTCCGCTCCTCCCCCCCCCCCCCCCCCCCCCCCCCCCCCCCCCCCCC